ATTTTTAGAAAAATTTAAAATATGGAAGTATTTTTTGAATGATTTTAATTTCTTTTTATTTTTTTTAATCTTTTTTAAAATTTTTTGAATCACTTGAATCTTGTTTGAATATCTCTCGTGTGATATAAGAGTGCATGACCCTATAAAATTGTCGAAAATGGAACACCCTGTACAAACTTTAAAAGTCTCTAAGTGCATGTTTTTTAAAAGTCTTGTTTTTAAGATCCTTCAAGTCTATCAGAGTTTAGTCTTTGAGCGTCTTTAAGAGTTTTGAGAAAATATTAAGAAATCTGGGGGAAATAAGAGGAAATTTCAAAGGAAATTCTAGGGAAATATTAGGAATTTTTGAGGAAATACGAAGAAATTCCAAGGAAATCTTGAGGAAATCTGGAGAAATTTCTCGAGGAAATCTAAAGGAAATAAAATGTTTCTACGAGGGTTTCTATAAGGAAATAACGTTAAATCAAGTTTGTTGTTTGTAAATTGTGTGTGTAAATTTGGAGAAATTAAATGCAATGCTAGAAATGTTGAGGAAATTAAGGGAAATTGGACCAATTTTTAGGCAATAAAGGAAATCTTTATCCCCTACAATAAGTCGTCACCAACCCCGAGGTTAAAACAGAAACAGAAAAACTGTTTTTACACGAGTTTCTTCATAAAGAATAATGATTCTTGAATAATCTACCGTTTTCGAAATGAGTATACGAGGTTAGCTAAAAAAGTTATCAGACCTAACTTTTTTTTAATGGGACACCCTGTATAGGTATTTTAATCTGAAAAGATAGCATATTAAATTCTCCTTTCAAAAATGAAAAAGGTGCAAATGATTTAAAAAAAAATACAAAAACGATTTTTAAATTTCGGAATTTTAAAAAATCATGACTTATTTTAGGGGGCAAAGCGAGAGGCAAAGATTTCCTTCATTGCCGATAAATTGCCACAATTTCCCTTAATTTCTCCAACAGTTCTAGATTTGTCTTAAATTTCCCCAAATTTGCACATTTCTCAGAATTAACGTGAAATAAGTAACGTTACTTCCTTATAGAAACTTTTTATTTCCTTAAAATTTCCTTCGAGTTTCCTAATATTTCCTCTAATTTCGCTTATAACTCCGGCACATCAACCAAGAAAAATCATAACGATTAGTGCGCGCATGATCAAGACTGCGAAATGATCACTTTCTTATTTATTGAGATTTTTTCAAATTTTAACCACAGATACTTCTAGTAAAGCGAGTAGTAAAGACAAGCATATCGCACATTGTAACAATAGGATGTGTGCAAACTGCACAATGTCAACTCTTTTATTTATGGAGACATTCTTTGAAGTTTGAACCGCAGATGCTTCTACTACTCAGACACACATATCGCACATTATACAAATCATACCTATATGCGCATGTGCAAAGATATTTTGCTGAAATTTTAATCAAAGATTCTGTTAGTGAGGACAGGCGTATCGCATATTCACAGATGCGCAAACTGGGCAATGTCAAATTTCTTATTCAGAGATATTTTTTGAAATTTTAACCAAAGATACTTATCTAGTGACAAACATATCGCATATTTTAAACATCAGGTGTGCGCATGCGCACTCTGCGCAATGCTAAGTTTCTTATTTATAACAATATTTATTCCATAACTTATTTTCCTTTGTACACATAGATGTCCGTTACATGGTCTTTCGGGAAGCACTATCAATTTATGGAAAATGCGGTCGAGTTACTCACCTTAAGGCGAAAACCTGTTTACATTTTTAGCGCATTTTTTAAGAATTAAGAAAAATGTGCTATTGTTTGCGTTTTATCCGCCCGTCCGTCCGTTCGGACCCACTTCTACCGTTTTGAACTACTTCTAGGTCCTAGAGTCCTGGAATTTTTTGCAGTAGGTAGCCTATACCTTGAAGGTGTGCCAGACGGCCATCAAATTTCGCTGCCTAAAAGCCCTCCCCCCGAATTATTCCCTGAGATGCTGTTTTTGAAAGTAAAACGTGCATAGCTTTTTACATACGACAACCAATTAGTCTCAGATTTTGCATAGGCATGCCTTTAGTGGTGCTAAGTTAAACTTTAGGAAATGGGGGGGAGGGGGGCACATGTTCTACCCTTCATGGTATTCTAATGAAAGGTCTCATCGAAATAAATTGGTTTGTACAAACTATAACTTTCCCGTGCGACTCCTTTTCGAGATCAGTGAGCGACAGGGCCTGAGGGGGGGGGGGGGGGGGGGGGTGAGGGTTAAAAATAAATTTTATCTCTCATTGTATTCTAATTAAAGGTCTCAACGAAAGGAACCGTTTTCTACCAACTACTGCCCTTCTTTCTGTCCTATTATCAAATGGCGATTGAGACGTCTGCAAGAAATATATCCATTGGCGATGTCAAAACAAAAGCTATTTCGGTTAAAAAAATGCGCTTTATCTGCACAAGAGTTGTATACAATTTATACTTGTTTCTATCTTACATGGGTAAGTAGTAAGATACGGTAACATCCCACTTTTAGTTTTCACCCTGTATCTCGGAAACAAACGTTGCTAGATTGATACTGGTTATGGTATTTAAAAGTAAAAAAAAGTGGTACAGAGTCGCAAATCGCAAATCTCTATCTTTAAAAAAATCTGAGATATAATTATTATTATTATCCCTCTCTTGTTTTTGGGCCCTCAACAGGCATGCGCCCAATTACAGTGACCCGCATAATGCTATTTAGAGGTGCCTCTGCAGAAGGTCTTAAGTTGGTCTATACTACTCCGGTATTTACCTCAACCCAGGTTCGAACACCCGACCTCCGGAATTATAACCCACTGAGCCATAAATCCGTTACTAATGCAGTCTCTACCCCAATAGGACGCATTGTACAGGGCGATTAAAATTTGTGGTTGCGTTCTTTTTAATCACAAAAAGGGGCACATTTGCCCCCATTTAACCTACACTGCATCTCTCACCGTTGCACCGAAGCCGGAGGCGCAGTGGTTACGTTTACCGACTTCTATTCGGCAGATTCTGGATTCGAATTCCACTGCCCACTCCTCTCAGCTCCGTATGGGGCTTTGTCGGGTTTTCCTTAGACAAAAGTAGCTTCGCATAGTGTTGGCATCTACGAGGCGAATGCTGGAGCAGTACTCGCCCCATCAGCATCCTAAATCCGTTCCAGTCTCTACCTTACATTTCCGCATAAATGGAAGTACTCGGCACCGATTGGCCACGCAACCGCGGACTAGTATTAGTATCTTCATGAAGTGATAAAATTAAAATATGGGTCAATTATAAGAAGAGGAATTAATTAATCATTTCAGCTAAGTTAATAGAATTTACTAGCAGCTTACGTAATTAGCAAACTTAATTCCAATTATAAATAATTGACGGCCGAACGTATAGTTTCACAAAGGCTAAATTTGAACTACTCGACAACGTTAAATGTAATTCAGTCGGTCTTCCGTCCGACCACGCCCCCATTAATTAGACCAATAAGTTTTGTGACATAAACAAATGCGATATTAAATTACACATTCAATTCAATTATTCAATATAAATGAAAAGATACTTATTACCTTATTCCTAAGATGACATTTCACATTCCACGTCTTTTTTACTAACAAAAAAATAGCTCGTTTAAGTTTAACCTTTGTCAACGGGTATGCTTGGCTACCTACCGAACGCTTTCTTTATCAGTTAAATATCCATTTCGTTCATTTATTACTTTCTCAAAATATTATAGATCGAGCCCACGCATTTTTTTTGTTTATACAAATTACGAAAATGTATAGCATCGAAACTGCGTCAAATATATACCCTCCGTTTATGAGATTCGTCCTAAAGGCTCACAAATTTGTTTTGCACCCTGTAGTCGACTTTAGCAGACTATTTCGAATTTAACTGCCTCACCCGGGACGTCGTGTCCTGTTCGGTACTGCTGCGTCTTCGGCGGGCCCTTGCCCTCTCAAAGCGGCACTTTCGGCACTAACCTAGTTCCTCCACTGACGGTGTTATAACGCTTCTGCGGCGACACACAAACTGTTGCGAGGCGGTCGCTTCGTGTGAACACCGCCATTTAAAACTGTGTAGATTCCCTCGCAGCGACACTTAGTCGCAGAGTGCAGTGTGGATGAATACCTCCATATCAACAGCTGCTAAGTGACTCAGTGTGAAGGGACTCTAAATAGATGAGATGCCAGAGAAGGCAAATTTTTCGGATCATCATCCCTACCTTAAATAAGACATTTTCTTCCTTGACTTTTTGGATTCAAAATTACAACAATTGAATAACTTTCATACAGGCGCATCAATTTTCATACTTTATAATATCAAACAATCGATTTCCTTCTCGAGGGAAATGTGTAATATAGGTAAAAAGAAACAGTCGAAGACCAGTTCGACAAAATCGATAGAGAAAACACCTTCCCATGGCTCTTGTAGGGGATCTGCAACACCTCATAGTAGGTATCCTTGGGAGCGTACGCGGTATCGAGTTGACCCACGTTGGAAGATTGCGTTTCTACTCAGTACGCGTCAATCTAGATGGTTTTTTTTGCCGCCCTCGTATATGATGCCGAGACGCGTGCAGATAATGGTTCGTACCGACCTTAAACGTAAGGGGAGGGTGAGGGGGTTTGCTTACTCATTTACATCTTACGAATAAAAAGATTATGCGAGAGATTAGGCCTACCGGTCTCGAGTTGCTAGAAACAGCATCGAAAATTCCAACGGCATCCCCTTACCAATTATCGACTTCTTCGTATCCACTCGAATCGGCAATGAGGCAAACGACAACAACCTCGTTATTTTGTGTACACACACTTCCAACCCTTCGTTGGGATTTCCACCAGAACTACAATTGCGAGCAGGTGTAAGAAGAGACGCTGATAAGGAAACTGTGACGAGGAGGGGGTGCGTTCGTTTCAAACGCCTTTCGCTTCCCGCCTAATTCAGCTTGACAATTGATAAGATGCGAATGTCCTTAATTGCTAGATAACAATATCGAGGTTACGGGAGTTTCGCTTACCTGCACAATTCCGGGATCCTCGTCGTCTTTGTCGGCTCGAACCATATAATCCCGACTTTCACTGATAACAGCAACTCGAAGAACCTTGAACTGCAATAAAAAGAAACCTTTTTTCTACACAGACAATGCAAATATGGCAACTATGGTAACTAATTTGTAACGTGTATTGGTGTTGTTGTTTACGCTTACCTCGGCGGATTTTACTTGAAGTTATGTAAGTACTTAAATCCAACTGTCAAATCACAATTAACGCACTGCAACCACGTGATCGATCACTTTTTACAATTATTTCCCATTCGAAACACACGCGATTAACAACCTTAACGCACAAGCACATAACCTTAAAACTTACACTTTACGCACAATTTTCCCGGCACCACTAATAAATGAAATTGCGCGACGTATGCTTGGCGTAGGTACACAAAAATGACACAAAAGTGGCATCGTGCGCTGTAAATAAATACCGTTCACTTCACTCTCTTCTGTGTATATGCGTTTATTCCATATTCTAACAGCACGATTTCGCTCTACTCGACAGACTGCTGAGTTCCCATCCGACAGTCGTTGTGAGAGCGAAGGTATATAAGAGCGCGGCTATGTATTTGTTTCCCCTTATATATTTTAGGTATATAAGCGTTCCACCGGCGGCGGCTGTTACTTTACTAAGGTTTTGTTCAAATCAAATACACTACACTGTTAAAATCGAACGTTTGTTTCGCCGCGGATTTCGCAGGTAATTAAGTTGCGGGATTTGATTCCTTTAATTATCGTTCACTTGACATGCAAAAAACAGCTGATCGCTGTCGCTAATTATAAATCAGTAGGCTGATAACAATTGAATTTGAGGCTTAGAGAACAGGGTTGGACTTAGCGTGAGGCTGCCATTATTTTTATTTTCTAACTTACCTCGTAAAATATACTGCTCCAAAATTTTAATTAATATCACAACTTGTTTTGTTATTATTAAATCGGCTACTGATACACTACATAAAATGAAATAACGCAATTGTTCTTCGTTCTAGCTTGAGGGACATGGGGTGAGTCCCGCGGTTTCTCGACAATTCTTCATCGACGCTATTTCGGGAACTGTTGAAATTACTGGTTCAGTACGAAGTACTTTCTAAGTCGGCCGAGACACCTCCAAGGGGTAAGTACAGACGTTGAAGGGGTCCAAGATCCGTTAGCTTTTAATTTCGCGTAACGTTAAGAAATATATCACCCCCCCAATTAATAACACAAATGTAAGGTTATGTTGCAATGTCTACTTGAAAGATATGGCACATGATGGCATCTTGGTTCTTGTAGTGTGTGTGAACCTACCGTACTTTTATTTTACCTGACCCATATTTGCTAACTTGCAGATGTGTTGCACACTGACTCCCTCGGTATTGCGCAAACGCAAGTGCGCTAACATTTGAATTTTCGTACAACTGTCAAGTTTAAGGGGTAAATCTTTCCTTCTCTAAAGGGTAAATAATACACATAACCTGCAAACGTTATAATTGAAGATAATTTAACTTACCTGCTTACCTATTGTAAGTAAGTGTACTAGGTATAGGTATACATATGTTAATGCCATGTTATCAAGATGAATTTTGTTGTTATTCCTAGAATATGCCAAAGGCGATAGAAAGAAACTATTTCGGTAAGTACTGTAACCAGTGGCGGATTAAGGGTGTATGAGGCCTGGGGCGATTTTCAGAGTGGGGCCCCACCTGCCCTACTTTTCTAACCCATGAATCACAACAAACGAATAGAAAAAAGCTATGAATGTGAATAAGGTTTTATTGATACATAACAAATGATGAAATCTTAAAATTTATGTTTCCGCGCTTTTATTCTGCTGAATACCGACCCGACGCCGTCGCCGACCGCCGCTCGCCTCCCCACCGGCCACCCCGGCCAGCCAATACTAGGTCTTTTTTTTCTCTCTTTGCAGTTGCAACGCATCGGGGGCCTACTCTAGTGACGGGGCCCGGGGCGGACCGCCCCTGCCGCCCCCCCCCCTTAGTCCGCCACTGACTGTAACAGTTAATTAGAAATAGTTAATGAAATCTACTTACAGACCAATATTGACCTACGGTAGAGAGAGAGTTGGGTGCTGGACGAATCACAAAAAACCAGACTACATGCTACAGAAATGAAGTACTTGCGAAGGGTAAGGGGAGTTGGTGGAATTCCTAGTGAGAAGATAAAATAAGAAGTGGATGCTCTGATAGAGACCTTTGATAGACAAAAATTAAAACGCTTATTTAGACGCCTTGAACGAATGGAAAACAGTCGGCTTGCGAAACACATATGGAACACCGGAATTCAAAATAGGAAGAAAAGGGGAAGCATAACGACAACATAGGATATGTACCTATAAGTAGCAAGAATACTTCAAGATCAAGGCATAGAATGGGAGGAGGCTAAAGGTGCCTTTAGACTAGAAAGAAAACACGCGCAATTTTCTGTCGGACACTACTGTCTTAAGTGTAAATAGCATCCATTTGACAGAACTCGCGGAAGAATTCTTTCGACACTTTTCTTGCCGCAGTCTAAACAGGCAAAAGTGCAGCTCACCAAGTTCTCGCCAACTTTCCATTTTGTTTCGATATTTTGGCGAGTAAACGTGCGAGTTTTATTGTATAATATAATAATAATAATAATAATGACATTTATTTCCACGTAATACCAAAACCAAATAAGTATAAAATATATATAAATGAGTAACACATAATGTATACGGGAAATGGGACTACATTCAGTGTTTTGACAACCCTGTTCTTCCATGTAACCCCAACTCGTTATAGGAAAATAAAATATAAATTGTAAATTACGCTAGCACTCAGGAACAAATTAATACTTGAATACAAAGAGAGGAAAGCAACGAAAATAAAAATACAAGTATAAGTACTATAATCTTAAGACACACCAGTTCATTTAGGTAGCTCCAGTTTCAGATATTGTCTGATTTTATTTTTGAAGCCAAGAGGTTGAAGATTTTTAAGAGGGGACGGAATCATGTTATACAGCTTACATATATTGTATGTGAACGATTTTTCAAAGTAAGCAGTGTGATGGAAAGGGATATTTAGTAGACCTCTATGGCGCAAATTTAGATTATGTAAGCTAGTTCTATATTCTAAACGATCAGCTAGGTAACTTGGTGTTTGGGTGACAATAACCTTATGGTAAAGAACTAGAGAATGCAACATTCTACGCTGAGACATATTAAGCCATCCCACCTCGATCATCTTATGTGAAATGTGATCTCTGCGCCCAATGCCATAAATAAATCTCAAACAAGAATTCTGCACTCTTTGTATACGGGTGGCAGTAGCTGTGTCAATGCATGCATGAAACAAAACATCACAATAATTAAAATGTGACAAAACAAGGGTATCTGTTAGGGTTATTTTGGTTTTAGTAGATAACAGATGTCTATTCGGATACAAACGCTTTAGAGTAGAATATGCCTTGCGCAAACAATTATTAATATGGCTAACATACTTAAAGTTAGAGTCCATTAAAACTCCAAGATTTCTTGCATCGTGCGACACTTTCAATACCGATCCTTGCACTTTAATCCTAATGAGATCCAAGTTCTGGATTCTAGCTTTATCTCGTCCAAAAAGCAGCACAGTGGACTTTTTTGCATTAATAAATAAATTATGGTTTGTAGCAGTTCGGACAAGCACTTCAAGTTCTTTATTTATTAATTTTATTGCATCAGATGTATCAGACGGTGGGAATGAACAATATACCTGTGTATCATCAGCATACTGATGAAATTTACAGCTTTTAAAGTCCCTGCAGATATTATTTGAATATATGACATATAAAAGTGGCCCCAAAATGGAGCCTTGTGGGACTCCACTATGTACACCAAGTAAAGAAGATTTAATGTTATCCATAAGCACACAATGCTGCCTACTTTCAAGGTAAGAGGTAATAAGTTGTACCGCAGACACATCGAAACCGTAATGATTCAGTATTGATAAAAGAAGCTTATGATTTATAGTATCAAATGCCTTAGAAAAATCTACTAATACCAAAACTGTGAGATATCCTGCATCTGTAGCTTTAATGATATCGTCGGTAATACTAAGTAATGCTGTGGTGCAACTATAATTTTTTCGAAACCCAGATTGGTAAGGTGTTAAAAGATTATACTTAAGAATGTGTTCATTTATTTGATCTTTCATAACCTTCTCCAATATTTTCGACAAAGTGCACAGTATACTAATCGGTCTCAAGTCTTTATAGCATGAAGGATTATTAATTTTAGGAATAGGCTTGACATAAGCCACTTTCCATTGTGAAGGAAACGTATTGGTGTAGAGGCATTCATTTATAATATGCGTTATAAATGCTATTATAAAAGGACAACAAAGCTGGATCATCTCAATATTGATATTATCGGAGCCAAACGATTTAGATTTAATATTGTTAATAATTTTCATAACTATATGTTTCCTCACAGAATGGAATTTAAATTTATCGTTAACGCTATGATGTATAGTATTATAGCAATTTAAATGTTGGCTCTGTGTGGCAATAGAGCTATTAGAAATGGATTGATTAAAAAATCTATTAATTTCATCGGGTTTGTTTAACTCGTTAGGTAGTTTAGCATTATGTTTTTTATAGATGTCCAAGTCTTTGACGGCTCGCCAGAGAGATGATTTATCGCCATTGGATAGCTTGAAATTTAAATAAGCTTTCTTTTCCTGTTTGATGGAGAATGTTACAAGGTTTCTTAAAGATTTATAATACTCCCAATGGCCATTCTTTTTCGTTTTTTTAAACCGGCGATAAGCATTATCACGAAGTTTCATCATCAATTTGATATTGTCGGTGAGCCAAGGTGCTTTGGGTTTACGGGATGTAACCGTTATAATGGGAAAGAAATCATCAAAAAGGGAAAGCAAGTTACGTGATAAAAAAGCAACCTTGTGGTTAACATCAGGTAATGTATAAATATCATTCCACGCTACTTCCATTAAGGCATCTTCAAATGAAGCAGCTACCCCCGCATAATCTTTTAAATTCCTAAAGCTAAAAATAGACGTATGAATTTGACAATAGTCCAATTCTGCATTGCAAACAACATAATCATGATCAGAGAAATTATTGGAGCTTACAGTATCGCTGCTCAAGATTGACTTATGTTCAGAGACAAGGATGTGATCGATTAATGAGAAAAAATCCTTAGCTATACGTGTAGGACATTCGATAATTTGAGATAAACCAAATACGTCCAACATAGAACGATACTTTATAACCATATTATCATCATGTTTTAAGAGATCTATGTTAAAATCGCCCAAAGAGAAAACTTTTTCGTGAATTGAAATAATAGTACTAAGTGCTTCTTCGAAATTATCCAGAAAATCGCTTAGATTACCATGAGGAGGTCTATAAACCACCCCAACAACATACACTACCTTATGTTTGTCTAAAACTTTTATCCAAAGTTGTTCATAACTATCAGAATTTTCCATAGCAATAACGGAACAGTTGAAGTAAGACTTAATATAAATTCCGACTCCACCTCCTCTACTTCCTCGATCCTTCCTAAAAAAATTATAATTAGATAAGTTGATAGCATCTGTATCAAGAGTATTTTGCAACCAAGTTTCTGAAACTGCGACTACA